ARAAAACTGGACAAAACCATAATGGTAAAGTTCACGATGCAAGTCAACATCACATCCAAGATTTACCCAAAGGTAATGTTCACAAGAAAGAGAGTRGAAGTATCGAGTGCMRTCAYGACGCWGCAACRATRAWCAGAAATGATGTTGATTTGAAAGGGAATCTTGCCAAGCCAGCTCRAGATTGYCAGACAGAGATGGTTGCAGAGTCCGTGGACGACGGTGCTKCCCAATTTAGCAGTGAYGCTACWACTTTCCTGGATGAGTTCACTGATTGGCTTGATGACTATTATCAGAAAAATAGCGCATCCTCAAGCGTCTCGAGCAGCTTGGCTTATCGTGAAGACGAAGCAACAATTTCACGAAACGACAGTAGAAAAATATTTTTAGAAGGACTGGTGGARAAATATGATACTCAATTAARGAAASAGCAGTCTTCTGCAAGCGTGGACAAYGGTGAAGGAACAGTCRTTTTTCGAGGTAAAAGTAAAAGAGCATCCATGGAAAGGTTATTTGAAAGGTGCACATCGAAMTTTCCRCGAGATGAAGAATGTTCCGACAARGGCTCRAGTTCTTWTSGGAATACAAATCAGCCACCCWCGAGMAGYAACAGCAAGAAATCATTTGCAGARGATTTAGTGGGCATATACGATGCCAAAAGCAAAAGTCATTCWCGTACAGCTTCAAATAGCTCTTGTGTTTCTTGTAATAGCTTCGTGTCTTGCTCRCGCAACGAAAGCAGAAAATCATTTTTGGAAGCAATGGTTGAAAAATATGATAAACAACTGAAGCAAGGGTATTCCGAGAGGGACCAAGAACAATGTTAATGAGAAGTTACTCTTGCAAGAGGCAAAACTCTTAACTTAAGAGTTATTAAATTAAACAATKAAACATATTGCAAAACAACAATTTCAAATATGAAAATTAAATAGTAATAATATTGTTACAGGGGTTCTTGTCTTGTAACTTGTGGGATTTACTCAGGAAGAGCCGGTACTGGATCAAAATATATTTAATACTAAACTTGAAAAGATGTTGTATACACTGAGTTTAGCTACCAACTATCGAACGATAGCCAACTAAAGAACAACTAACCTATACAAAATGTCAATCTACCTATATAGTGAATGTTTTACAAGTCAGAGTGACAGCAAATTGGCAGGCTACATTGCAATACGATTGGATAGAGTATAAGCTTGACGTACWAAAGTTTGATTTACTAATAAGGTGTTCAGCTAAGGCTGAGAGAGAAAAGGCTATGCCCCGACATAGTTTTAAGTTAAATTTAAAGATGAAACTAAGACAGAAGATAGCTCTAACAGAGAACTAACTTTCTATCAAGTTATATTATAAAGATACACAAAATGAACGATGCTACAAGGCTCCAAACCAACCAAGGGCGTTTTGGGGTATGTATTGAGGTGTAGGGTTACAAGGGTGGAGTCTATCCGAAATTGGTGTAATATTGCAGTGCTTTAAGACACGTGGGGATATCCTAGATGAACATGTGGAAACTGAAATAAGGTGCCTTGTAGTCTCGTTATACTGTCAAACCTATAGTTCTTATCTGACAGCTTAATGGAATATTCGAAATTAAAGAGAGGGATTAAAAGAAAGTGACAACTAAAGAGTCACRAGCTGTAACTAGACTTTGGCTTAGTTAGGGTACACAACGCTAAGCAAGACAGTGTAGAAAACCTATAAAAATAGTAACCTAAGTTATGTTYGAGATAAATGTATTGGAATACTAGTAAACGTTAAACAGCTAAACGAAACGATGTGTACAAAACAGATGTCATATTTTATATCTAATCAAGATTATGTCAAAATAAATATAAGTTCTATTAACACAAGAACGCAGGTGTGGAACTTAATGATAACCTAGGGAATGACTTTACTAGAAACGTTCATAAATATTGATTTACTAATTTTGTTTTATAACAACATGATGTCAATTTTCAATTAAACTACTGAAAAAAAAATAATACAATAACAGCAACAAAAAAAAACACCAACACTGTATAACACGAGAAATACTCATCTTCATCGACTCTCCCACATCCATCACAAAAAACCCAGTGCCCCAACTTCCACACCTTCTATAACACTCGTTCAAACATGCATGCAAGAGGGTCTCAATGGGGGTGGTACGCCTCACGACTCACGGCTAAAAATTTGGCGATTTCACGACTCGCGACTAATTTTTTCGAATCACTGTTAACTAGATTACTTTCAGAAAYTTTTGAAATACGTTTTTCATAATTTGTTTTGTGCTAGAGACTAGTGAGTGTGGGAGCACAGTGTCCCTGGGCTTGTACGTTGTACGGGCTTGTACGCTATAGACACACGGTTATTATAATTTTTTAAATTTACCCCCAAAATTTACAAGCGCGCGCCTGGAGCTGACTGTCCTTCTGATGGACAAAACTGAATCACGGCTCACGCTAAAAAAAAATATTCACTCCTTACGGCTATTTTTTTCGCATTTTCACGACTCACGGCTAATTTTTCAGCCGTTTCACGGCTCACCATTGACCCCATTGAGACTCTCGTATAAGTCACGCAGTCTATTCATACGGAATTTTTTTCCAACCTCCTCAAGTTCAGAAAAGAGCCTTTAGTATTGTAAATAAGTGCATTTGAATTCTTTTAAGCTTTTTGACGTTTTCCATCCGTCTCCTTTTTCGGGMGAATTGAGTTGGAAATAGGTCGTAGAAAATGTCCGCATGAATAGACTGCGTGTTGTCCTCATTCAAATCTTGAAATTTAACAGAAATACGGAAGAAACACAGACAGCTGATTTGAAAGCGTCGAAATCAATAGTTAAAGAAACGAGAATAGTTTGAAAGCAAAGAGTTTAGGCAGTTTTGAGTTGGAAAGAGGTCGGTGAAAATGGCCGTATGAATAGACTGCGTGACTTATTCGTACGGACATGGTTTTTTCTCTTCCAAATGATTAATCATAAATTCATACACAAGAAACATAGCAGGTATTGAGAGCATAGTAGTGACATTACTGCATTCCGTGTATGACATCGGAGTAAAATCGCGAAGTTTGCAGCGTATTCATATTATTATTTGACTTTAAAAAAAATTATAGTATTTTAAAATTGATATCTTATCTAATTACTTTAAAATTTCAGAATATATACATTGTCCATACGTTTTTTTTTCAAGCTACCTGTTTCGCGAATTCCAATCTGCAATTGCAAAACTTTGAACACATAAAAGAACACGTCTTCCCACTGAAACGTCATTAAAACGTTCATGACCTTGATGAATACTTCCACGAATAAATGGACGTGATCTTGAAATCTAAAAAGTAATTTTTTATCATTGTTGTGACGAAAGGCATTGTGGGGCCTCTCGTTACTATGTCATGATRTTGAGTGACGGAACCGTAACCATCCACTTGTAGCAGGCGTTCCTTGCGAGACCTTTAAGCTGAAAAGAGATCAAAAATCACTAGAAAAAAGAAAACGAAGTAAAAACAGCAAAGAAAAAGACTAAAAGAAAAAGAGCAAAAAAGAAAGAAGAAAAGAAAACAAGCGAAAAAGAAACAATACACAAGCAAAAAAGAGAAATCCCAGCATCAGGACTCGAACTCAGGACTTTCACTTCAGGAGAAGATGTACCCCCCCGGAATACATAAGAAATAATTAAAATAAAAATCTAAAAAGATGGGACGATTCCCCCGAGACATTCTATGAAGCTGAGGCGTCGAATCGGCTTACGTTACGGTTAGAGATTTCGGCTCTTCCACGCTATCCCGAGTGAACATAAAACTTAGTCTTAACCAAAAGGCCAGGGAGTGAGGGGGTAGCCGCCCACTAGAGCATACCTTTAGCTACCCTCTTARACCATCGTRCTATGARGACACTTATAGATATCTAATATCTAATTGGGGTAGTCTATTCGGTGAAGATCTATGCTAATATATGACGTAATCAAAATCCTTAGGGAGCAGCGAGCCAATCAGAGCTCAGCTCAGGAATTAGCAAACGATATACAGCTTTGCATAATCATTCTTCAGTGGATTTATTATTTGACAGGGGTGGGGTGGGTGCCGAGTGCTCGTTTGCGGCCGAATGCCGATTCGGTGTAAATTGACGGCTTTCATCGAGCTGTTCAATTGTCGTTATTGTTTTCCAAATCATCACATTTTAAATTAGTTTTACAGTTCTTATATCAGACAGACATTCACTAGTATTCGGATGAAAAGCACCACAAAAATCTCTTGAAATTCTTAAGACCGACACTAGCTGTTGCCAAAAGATTTGCCGGGATTCAACTAAACACAATTAAGACCTCTGAAACTCCAACATTACACTCGAACGTTCCACATTTCGATAAAGTTTGCAAGGGATTAATATTGATTATCAAATAATTATCGAATATAGTGAATACTAATGAGAAGAGAATGAATGATAATCCGTATAAATCGTATAATCAAATTAAAAATTATTTTGACTCCCGTCTTTCGTCCAGACCACGTGAAAAATCTAAGTTCCAAGTCGATTGTATACTATGCCGAGCGGCGAAGAAGCTTTAAATTGTCAACTGAATTAGGTCAAAAGGAAGACTACCTACATCTAAATACAGTAAAGTATCTTTGATTAGACTAGATTTACATTTTACTGTGATTTTGGTGAATTATTTTGACTCTCGGGAGTTTCTGTACTCTCCACTAAAGCTTTGATTTTTTAAATTCCCCCTCCCAAAACAAGCGCGCGCCTGGAGTTGACTGTCCTTCTGAGGGACAAAACTGAATTACGGCTCACGCTATAAAATAATATTCACGCCTTACGGCTAATTTTTTCGAATTTTCACGACTCACGGCCGTTTTCAGCCGTTTCACGGCTAACGGTTAACCCCATCGAGACCCTCATGCAATCGAACAGACGCAAGAAAAGGAAGCCCGAGTAAGAATGACGCATCACGCGATGAGTTGGGATTCCTTTGTTGTGCAGCCCCATGTTCATTTCGCGCCTTGATATTCGAATTCAAGATGGCGGCAGGTACCAGAGCACAACAATAACATGGGTGACAAAGACGGTTCTAAGAAGAAGATCTTTAGTGAAGTGAGCTACTTTCTCGCTTCTGAATGCAGCGAAGAGGTATGCGCTTACTGATCAGCAAAATTTATTGTCGATCGCGAGTTATCATCCATTTTAGAACTGACCGCGTTCTAATAGTGTTGAATTTCTTTGGCTTCAATGTTAGACACTCCTTTTCCGATAAAACTGGTCTCCCTCGTCTTAAAAGTCCTCCAAGTCGTACTGTTTAGTTAAAGTTTTAATGTGCACCAGATATTTTCCTTCTGTAGTAATTTCTTAGCCTTTTCTATGTATTTTCCTACACAAATGCCGAATAATAACTCGACGCGAAGTCATGCACAATGAAATCACATGTTTATTTGGCGGTCTGTCAGAAATGAATCGAATTTCATGACTCTCGATTAGCAGGAGTTAGCAGGAGTTCATTTACGTTGAAGACTTGCATTTAGATTAGAAAACAAGAAATGGAAGATAGATTTCTTGTAAAAAATTATTTTTATCATGAATTCGTCTAAATTCTTCATAMGATTCCGAAAACACTACACAGCGAAGAAGTTGTAAACACTTCATTACTCTATTATCTAGTGGATTTTCCCTTTACTGTATCAAAATCAATGCAATATGTGTTCTCCATTCAAAAGTCCTTGTTGTGATGTATAGATAATGTTTATACAAGATGGCCCAATAAATTTGTAAAATGTATATTTTTTGCAGTATTTCTAAGCATAGTAAATGAAGTTTAGATAATCATTCTTTGAAAAACGGATAGCAACTATGCGAATAACGCTAAGTTTAAGATGGAAATGTCAATTTTAGAGAGTTATATGCAAGAAAAACAAAATACTGCATAAAAAATACTGTTTTAAATAAAGAACCATATGAAAATCTTCTTTAATAAAGGTCCAGCAAAGTCTTAAACWAGGTGGTGCYACCAAGGAGTTTTATATCAGTGATTTAGTAACTCATGTGATATCAGACTCATGTGATTTTGCTTTGGCTGATGAAGCAAAAGAGTACAATTTACCAGTTGTTACGGTAAGGATAATGACATAATAACTATGTTTATTACGATAGCAAGTTTATAATGCATTGGTTTAAGATTAATGCCACATATTCCTGTGTGGGCTAGGAATCTAGTCTAAAGCAATTTTATGAAACACCCATATGCATTTAAGAACCTTAACAATAATTTTAACATTCTATTTCATTTTCTTTTAATCAAAGTTATTTGATAACAAAATTGCATATTGCATTTGATTATTACCTCAGGAAAGCTGGGTGAAAATGAGTTTAAAAGCTGGAAAAAAACTACCGTATCCTTAAAGTATGATTTGTTGCTTTCAAAACTTACAATGTATTTTTCAATGTATTAGTCTCCACAAAGTGGCTATATATAAWGTTAGATTTTGGAATACTGCACTCAAATTGTTAATCTGACATTTGATTTCCTCTTTGTGTGAGCTTTTGGACTATCTGGGGGTGTTCTAGAGTGCCATCTTGAAAGGTAGCCATGCTTTGTCATCGAAGCAAGACAACCGTTGAGTGTGCAAAGATTAAAACCTGTGAATAATTGTCTGTAGGTGTAAAAAAAGGTTTCTATCATTGCATGTTCAACGTTGATGGTTAACGGTTGTCTTGCTTCGATGTTAAGGCACGGCTACCTTTCAGGATGGGGCAGAGAACCATGAAGAAGACTATTGGAAATTTACAAGTACATGTATTGTGCCTTAACTTCCATGATTTAGTACACAACCATTTTCACCAAAATCTGGCAACCAACTGTTTACAAACATGAGGATATGYCCCTCAAAGGTAAGATTAATACATCATTCAAACTATTTACAAGTTAAAAACTACTAAATTCAAACATATTAAAAGTAAGTTGCTAGCTCTCACCCAATTACTATACTAGCCTATAAAAAAACTGCAATATACAGTAATGCACTATAAAACAATTATTTTCCTATGGTCTTTTTGTAGCTCCCTGGTGATGACTTAACCAAAGTCTGGGCCATGGTAACATTTCATGGTGGATTTTGTCAGCTAAACTTGACACCATCGTGTACTCACCTTGTCATCCCCAAAGCCACTGGAGTAAGTCATTTTAACAATTTGGAAAATTCTACAAAATAAGGGAAATTGATACTATGAATTATACATACACTATACAGTATTTCATTAGGCGGATCTTTGTTTACAAAATTTTGCTAGTTAGCATAAAGTTGAAATAAAAAAACTGTAAATAAGCTCATAACGTAAAAGGGMTTATTAAGAACTATAAACTACAAAAGTTTTTGRTCTTAAAATGCAAYAGTTTATGAGATATTAGCGTTCAAAGATGCCAAAAGTGCTAATTAGCCTATATAATCTCTCTAAAAATTGGAGTTTTTAAAACCRTTTGACTCAAAAAGTATTTCATATGGAAAGCTCAAAATTGCGAGGAAAGCTTATTGTGCYATGTTGTTTYAATATTCAGTGCTGATTTACTKWTAGTTAGGTTAAAACGTTATATGTTTATGCTAATGATATGTTAATGAACCGAAATGTAAACAAATTATTCACCTATAGGAAAAGTACAACATGGCTGCAAAACTRGAYGGMAAGATAAAGATTGTCACACCRAGTTGGGTTGTAAGCTGCATCAAGGAAAATAGACTCCTGGATGAAGGCCTTTTTGTCCCTGTAGAAGAACCAGAAAAAGAAAAACAAGAGGAAAGTTCTGAGAAGGGAAAYTCTGATAGCCAAGAAACAGTTGAYGATGTGCTGGTTGTAGAACAAACTGCTACTACYAGTGACCAGTTAAAAACCTCTGAAAGCTCAAAGGATGATGGCAGAAAGTTGCCACAAGAAGAAAGTTGTGTTGAAGAAGTTAAAGARCCTTGCACACCCRTTGCTACTACAGAAAAGAAAGTTATAGATAGCAACACATTGAGTACTCCTACACAAGCTCTGAATGCCTCTGTATCTAAAGAAGCAGATAAAGAGACAAAGAAGAGCCCAGYTAGAGAGGTCTTTGAGATAAAGGAAACACCRGTGAAGACTGAAGGAGAGTCRWCTGATGCAGARCCACTGGATAGTGTACTTACATCCAGGCATGAAGAATGCTCTGGGGAGCAAAAGAAACATGGCRCTRCACAGGATAAGACRGCAGAGACTGACAAAAAGAATGGTAATTGTCAGGAAAAGGAAGGTGCGAAAGGAACAGAAAAGGTGGACAGTTCAGTTGACAGTGGGTCATGTAAGTGTAAGAGATGCATATTAGAGTCAATTTCGTATAAGTGGGAAACGTACGGTAGAAATTACTGCACAGATACCGGACAGATACCTGACCTGGTCTGCACAATCTTTGTGAAGCAATGAGACACTGGAATTTGGTTACAGTACGATTACGGTTACAGTACAGTACCGTCCGTTTCCCACTCATACAAAATTGACTCTATTTTTATATTAGTATAAATTTTGGTAGAGATTCTTAGGAAATCTCTTAGGAAACACGTCAGATATGACTCTTGCTTCCTCAATTCTTATACTCTTGAAAAGCTTGTAATTTCAAACCCTGCAAGTTACATGTATGTAGCAATGAATTTACAGTGTTGTTGTAATGATACAGGTCATTGATTGGTATTTCTCTCCCTCTCTATAGCATCTCTTCTTTCTGGGTGTGTATTTGTGATAATAGACTACCAAAACTGCATGGACCATAGTATACTAAACACATGGATAGAGGTACGTGCAAATAATCAGTGGAATCATACCCTTGCTATTTAATAATTTACAAATTTGATGAGTGACAGTGAAATAGGAAGGATTGCTGTCCAAAAAAACAAAACAAAAACAAAACAAAATTAAACAAAATTAAAAAAAAAGACAAAACAAAAAATACAAAGAAAAACAACAACAACAACAACAAAAACTTGCTAACAATTAGCAGACCATGAGGTCAAGTGGACTCTGATAAACTCCAAACTGAACTGAACTGTTCTTGGGGCTATTTGTTTTATGGGAACATCCTTTTTCCTTTGGCAACTAACACAGCATAATGCCCTTGATTAAACTACTATATTGTTTAAATGGTTGCTACTAGTGATAAATTAGAGCTGTGTCATTTTTTCTAAATTGACAATGTAGGCAAAACAACTTTTAAGTTAAAATGACTTTTCAGACCAAGGATTAACATCCAAAATGGTTGTAAGTTGTTTCACTCACTTTTTTTACGGTGTTAAATTACTCTATTGTTTATCTAGTGCATGCATGTTGTAGGTAGTACATGTAAAATGTTTTTGAAAACATTTTAGTTTATGTATTTTCTTTATTGTGATGATTTTCAGGTTATAAAGTCCAATGGTGGTGAGGTACATATGTTCTACTCACAGGATTGTACACACGTTCTTTGCTTGTATCAACAAGGGAAGCTTTGTATAAAGGTAAAAACCATGTAACTATATCATGTTGCTATTTTCCTTTTCATGTCCTCTTAATCACTTCTACAAACTCTTGGAATCGTATGAAACTAAACATTTTTGATATATAACGCGCGCTCTAATGGCTGACAACCATGTTTATATCTGACAGAGGACAGAGACACGGCTTACCGGAAAAATTTGTTTTTTCGCTCGAAAAACGCAGAAAAATTTTATAAAAGAACTATAAAACAGCCGCTTGTGTCTCTGTCCTCTGATATAAACAC